GCCTAGATTTTCTTCTAGGGTTTTTATGGTGTTAGGTCTTATGTTTAAGTCTTTAATCCATCTGGAGTTAATTTTAGTGTAAGGTGTCAGGAAGGGGTCCAGTTTCTGCTTTCTGCACATGGCTAGCCAGCTTTCCCAACACCATTTATTGAACAGGGAATCCTTTCCCCATTGCTTGTTTTTGTTTGGTTTGTCAAAGATCAGATGGTTGTAGAAAGGTTGTGCTGCCTCCGAGACCTCTGTTCTGTTCCATTGGTCTATATCTCTGTTTTGGTACCAGTACCATGCTGTTTTGATTACCGTAGCCTTGTAGTATAGTTTGAAGTCTGGTATTGTGATGTCCCCCGCTTTGTTCTTTTTGCTTAGAATTGACTTGGCTATGCAGGCTCTCTTTTGGTTCCATATGAAGTTTAAGGTGGTTTTTTCCAGTTCTGCAAAGAAGGTCATTGGTAGCTTGATGGGGATAGCATTGAATCTGTAAATTACTTTGGGCAGTATGGCCATTTTCACGATATTGATTCTTCCTAACCATGAACATGGGATGTTTCTCCATCTGTTTGTGTCCTCTCTTATTTCGTTGAGCAGTGGCTTGTAGTTCTCCTTGAAGAGGTCCTTTACGTTCCTTGTTAGTTGTATTCCTAGGTATTTTATTCTCTTTGTGGCAATTGTGAATGGAAGTTTGTTCTTGATTTGGCTCTCTTTAAGTCTGTTACTGGTGTATAGGAATGCATGTGATTTTTGCACATTGATTTTGTATCCTGAGACTTTGCTGAACTTGCTTATCAGTTTCAGGAGGTTTGGGGCTGAGACGATGGGGTCTTCTAGATATACAATCATGTCGTCTGCAAATAGAGACAATTTGACTTCCTCCTTTCCTATTTGAATGCCCTTTATTTCTTTTTCTTGCCTGATTGCTCTGGCTAGAACTTCTAATACTATATTGAATAGCAGTGGTGAGAGCGGGCATCCTTGTCTGGTGCCACATTTCAAGGGGTATGCTTCCAGTTTTTGCCCATTCAGTATGATATTGGCTGTTGGTTTGTCATAAATAGCTTTTATTATTTTGAGATACGTTCCATTGATACCTAGCTTATTGAGTGTTTTTAGCATAAAGGGCTGTTGAATTTCGTCAAAGGCCTTCTGTTTTTTAAAAAATTTGTAATGATAACCTGTTTTTTAAAAAATTTGTAATGATGGGGTCTCACTATGTTACCCAGGTTGGTCTCAAACTCCTGGCCTCAAACTCTCCTCCTGCCTCAGCCTCCCAAAGTGCTATGATTTCAGGTGTGAACTGCCGCACTGGCCTTAAACTTAACTCTTATATTTTGCTGTTTTCTTCACTTACCACTGTTTGTAGTATCACTCATCTTTATCTTTCATGGATTCGTTTTTCATTTTGTAAGAATTCCTTCAGAAAGCGTGGGTGATATAATTTCTAAGACCTTCAGTGTCTGAGATTACTGTTTTTTCCTTTTCATAGGGCCCAATTTGATTTTCAGCTCCCTATTGAATTTTTAAAAAATTTTGAATGATGATATTCTAAAATATCCTAGAGCTCTAGTTTTCGTTTGGATAATACATACCTTCAAAATCTGTAACTATATGAATTATGATATTGCCTTTATATCTTCTGCTTTTCTTTTCTTTCTTTTTTTCTTTTTCTTTTTTTTTTTTTTTTTTTTTTTGAGATGGAGTTTCACTCTTGCTGCCCAGGGTGGAGTGCAATGGCATAATCTTGGCTCACTACACTTGCCTTCTGGGTTCAAGTGATTCTCCAGCCTCAGCCTCCCAACTAGCTGGGATTACAGGTGCCTGCCACCACGTCCAGCTAATTTTTTGTATTTTTAGTAGAGATGGGGTTTCACCATGTTGGCCAGGCTGGTCTTGAACTCCTGACCTCAGGTGATCTGCCTGCCTCAGCCTCCTAAAGTGCTGGGATTACAGGCATGAACCACTGCCCCTGGCCATCTTCTGCTTTTCAGTTCGGGCCTTTCTATCCACCCTTCAGCCAAGTGCATGCTGTATCCACCAGTTTTATTAATTGCATTCTGAGTGGAATTATTATTATTTTTTTTTAAGAAAAAAAAGCTGTAGTCCTTCTAGTTGAAGGTGCGGTCTTCTTCTAGGAAATACTGGGGAAACTGCCCAGTCCTTGGCTGTAGGTCATGTCTTCTGACCCCTTCATTTCACATCCAGATGAAATAGTTGTAGGATGTCAGAGCTGTAAGGACCTGCTGGTCCCAGAGCCCTGCCCCTCATTTCTTACATGAGACTGAGGCCCAGGGAATAAGCAGAAGTAGGCACGAGCTGCTTTTATGCCCTGGGCACCTCTCAGGTCCTCGTGTCCATCAGTGGACCCTCTGAAGTGCCAAATGACTCCGTGGGATGTGCAGTAATGATGGGCTGTGGGGACAGGCTACTTTCTTGGGTACCACGTAAAGGTTCCTGCCTAAGGAGCTGTGGATTCCTGGGCATCCCCAGATAGCTTGTCCTGAGGCTTTCCTTGCCATCTATAAACGGGCAACTCCCACATCTGTATCTCTTGACCCCTCTTCTCTTCTCTATGTCTGACTTAAGTCCCCAAACACCTATTGGAAGTCAAACCTGGTGTCTAATGGTGGCTGTGTCAAAAACTGAGTCTCCCCAGCCCTGTTTCTCACCCAGACTTCCCCACCTCAGCATCTGGCATCACTCTTCCCCCAGACGCTCAGGCCAGGAACAGGCATCATCCTCAATGCCTCTTTCTCTCACCGCTCTATCCCCACACTTTCCTCCGGAAAGCTCTGCTCCTGTTAACTCTGTCTTAGAAAGTGGGCTTGGTCTGGTCACCTCCCCCAGCACCCACTCCCTGCCCTTGGCTCTACCAGTGTGTGTCGCCTGGATTCTACACTGGCCTCCTAACTGGGTCCCTGCTTCCACCCTTGATCTGTTTTTCCCCAGCAGCTAGAATGAACTTTTCAAGATGTCCTCCAGAGTATGCCATTTTTTTTTTTCCTGAGATGGAGTTTCACTCTTGTCGCCCAGGCTGGAGTGTGGTGGTGGTATCTCAGCTCACTGCAACCTCCACCTCCCGGGCTCAAGTGATTTTCCTGCCTCAGCCTTGTGAGTAGCTGGGATTACAAATGCTTTCCACCACGCCTGGCTAATTTTTGTATTTTTACAGGGTTTCACCATGTTCGCCAGGCTGGTCTCAAACTCCTGACCTCAGGTGATCCACCCGCCTTGACATCCCAAAGTGCTGGGATTACAGGCATGAGCCACTGCACCCAGCCAGAGTATGCCATTCTTTTGCCCAGACTCTCCAGTGGCCCCTGTCTTGCTTAGAACCAAGTGAGCCTTTCACAGTGCGGCAGGCCCCACCATCTGCCCCCACCTCCTCTCCTTCCTTCACACGCCCTTCACTCCCTGTCTTGCCCTAGCGCATCTCTGCCATTGAGCCTTCGAATTTGTTGTGTTCCCTCTGCCTGGAGTGCTCTTCCAGTAGGCCATGTGGCTCCCTCCCACCCCTCATTTAGTCACTGCTCAAATGTCACCTCCTGATAGCGGTCCTCCTTCCCTATCCAAAATGACACCCACTTCTGCCCGTGCCCCCTCTAGTCGACTGTATCGTTCTTCACACTGTGTATCTGTCTCCACTAAAATAACGTTAGCCATTCATTTGTCACTTTATCTCGCTACTAGATGGTGAGTCCCACAAAAGCAAGGATTTGGTCTCATTCTCCTTGTGTCCATAGGGCCTAGAATACTTCCTGGCACCTAGCAGACACTCAGAAATTTCTTAAATGAATGAACAAAATAGGATAGACTTCACATTTATTTTTTCATTCAAGTACTATTCAGGGGTACTTCTTGGCTAGGCCTTGAGTAGGCAGGTGACTGGCACAGACCTATGGAGCTAACAGTCCTGCTGGGGACAACTACATGGGCAGCAAGAAGTGTGCCCGGAAGGGTTGGCACAGGGCTGGGGTGGGTCCTGGGGCTCCAGCAATAGCTGAGTGAGAGTCCCCTCACCAAAACCAGGGGAGAAGGGAGGAAAGGGGGAGTTGGAGGAAGGCCTCTGGGGTGCAAGGGTAGCCAGAGCAGGAGAGAAGACCTGGAGTGAGGATGGCAAGCTCACAGCAGACCCTCCCATAGGGCTTTTGTGCCAGGCACTGCACTGAGGGCATTACATATATTAACTGAAAATGACCTCGACCATCCCCATTTTAGGAAATGTTAGTGCTGAGAGATTGCCTGGGATCACACCCAGGCATGAGGAGCCAGACTCCGCCCAGTGCACTGGCTCCAAAATCTGTAACCACGCAGCCCCCTGCCTCGAGGGAGAGGGGAAAGTTGATCTGGTCAGACAGTAGGGGCAACTGGGAGAATGCAGGGGAGGCTAAGCCGTGAGCAAGTGCTGGGAGGATGCTGCAGGTCCAGACCTCATGCCCCTTGAGGGCCGGAAGGGGTCAAGCCTGCACTGCTAAAAGGAGCCCCCCACCCTGCCCACTGAGCTGTGAGCAAAGGGATGAACACTTTCCTCAGCAGGAAGGAGGCTGGAGGAAGGTGGGGCTGGGAGCCAGAGTACCTGGGCAGGAGTAGTCAGGGGATGGTTGGGTTAGAAGGAAGAACTTCCAGCCCCAGCCTAGGAGGGGGTGCCCTGGCTGTGAGGGACCACTCCTCCCCCAGGGCCTCCTTGGCATCTGTCCCCTTGGGCGCTAAGAGGCCCTTCCTGTCCAGATGGCCTCTTCAGGCTTCCCCCCAGGCACATCCACAAATAAGCTCTCCTCCATTAGGGGGGTGCAAGGTAGAGGCACTGTTTTCACTTATAGAGGAGGAAAGGCAGGCTCAGAGAGTCAAGCAGCCTCCCAGAGAGTCACAGTTTGTAGGGCCTGCAGCAGGGTCCAATCGCAGGTCTGGCTAGAGGGATTGCGTAGCAGAATTCGGACTTAATGAGGTGTGTCTGGAGATCAGAGAATTTAGGCCCAGTAGGCATATGGGGTGAAATTGGAGGAGAAGAGTTTGGTGGGTGAGTTAGAGCCTCACCCTGAAGCAGCCTTTAATGGGGGGGCTTCAGCTGGGGCCCTTCGAGTAGCCCCAGAGAGAGAGCCTGTGCTGCCGCTCACAGGACAGCTCAGACTGGGCCATGGTAAGGACAGCAGCAGCAGCATGAGAGTCTGCAGGCTGTAGGGGCGGCAGGGTGGGCGAGGACAGCCCGTGAGTAGCCTCATTCCACCCCAGTTCTGGACACAGCTGGGCAGGAGGAATTCAGTGCCATGCGGGAGCAGTACATGCGCACGGGGGATGGCTTCCTCATCGTCTACTCTGTCACCGACAAGGCCAGCTTCGAGCACGTGGACCGCTTCCACCAGCTCATCCTGCGTGTCAAAGACAGGTGAGCATCAAAGACAGGTGAGAGTACCAGGAAGGCCTCCCTGCACCTGCCTCCTAGGGCGTGCTCTCTCTCTCTCTCTGATTTTCATGGGAAAGTGGAGGGTCAGAGGGGCAGTGCTGAATTCTCTCCTCCCCACTGGTCTCTGTGTTAGTTCCTCTAATACCTACCCTAGTTCTTTCTATGAGGTCAAACAGCTTCCAAGGCTACAGGGGGTCAGCTCCCTCTTATCTGTCATAACTGTCCCCTCCCTGAAGGTCAGTAGCATCTTTGTTTTTCAGCTCCAATTTAACTTAATTGTATTAGGTTCAAAGAAAAAGTGAATTTTCTCTCCAGTAAACATTGTAATTGGTCAACTTCCATTTAACTATGAGATTGATAAGCCCCTAATTAAAGGCATGGATTTTTTAAGCATTATGTGGAATAATTAAATAATTTGAAATCTGGTTTATATTCATTTGGTCTTGTTGAGTCTTAAAGAGGCTAAGTAATGAAAATAAAAGCACTAACTAACAGGAAAAGAACAAGCTTTGAGCAAATTCCAGGAAAGACAGAAAAAATTTAGCTAACATGTATTCCAAAGGCAAAGTGTTAATAAGTTTACCAGGTAAAGGGACACACAGATATACACATAAAGCTCCCACAGATTAATGTGGGTTTCACTCTGAATACATGAATTGCAAAACAGAAAACAAAAATGGCTCAGATGTGGGAAAATATTCAACTTCCTTGCTAATCAAAGAAATATAAGGAAAATAGTAAACTACCATTTTTCACCTGTCAAATTATAATTTTTTTAAATGGAAATACCCAATGCTGCTGAAGAATGTGTGAGATTGTCATTTCATTCCATTTTGGACAGCATTTGGCCCATGTCAATAAGAATCTTGACAGTGGTCATGACTCTTGATGCTGCCCTTCCCCTGCTGGGATCCATCCTAATTGTGCAGCTGGTTGTGTGGTTGGTACACCTGAATGACCCAAGAGATGGGAACCAGGTCTGGGGAGCCAGCCCCGGGCCAGCAGCCCCTCGAGGTCTCACCACTGGCCTTGCAATGGACCTGAGGCTTCAAGACAAGGCAGCCAGCAGCCCCCAGGCCCTTTTCCCCAAGCCCTAACCTCTCCGGAAATGAGGAGGGAAGGGACTGCAGTCCAGGCTGACTGGGGAGGTGCTGTGTGCTGTGCTATGCCTGAGATGTGGCTGCACCACCTTAACCAGGTGTAAGGGGTGGTGGAAACCTCACAGAGCTGCTATTCCTTTATTTCCCAGGGAGTCATTCCCGATGATCCTCGTGGCCAACAAGGTCGATTTGATGCACTTAAGGAAAATCACCAGGGAGCAAGGAAAAGAAATGGCGACCAAACACAATGTAGGTGTATGCGTGTGTATAGAGGGGGTCAGGAGATGTGTAAAGCTGTTGCCTGGTCACCCCTGCAGTCCTGGTCTTTGGGAATGGAACTACCATTTATCAAAGGGCTCCCCTGAGTTTTAAGTCTTGTTGCTATTGAAATCCTGCAATTCTAGGAGTTCAGGTAATGCACATCAGTGTTTCTTCCATGGTAGAGGCAGATCTCCCAGAGAGAAAGTAGGTGTCTGGGAACTGGGAGGATCATGCAGCTCAGGGACTTCTGAGCGATGGGGTGGGACAACAGGTGGCAGTGGTCTGAGGCCCTGGTGCCTGGGCCATTACCGAGCCGGCAGGAGTAAAGATGTGAAGGGGCTCCAGGCAGGTTGCAGCTCAGGCTGTAGTGCCTTCCTGCCTCCCCTCTGGGTGTGTGCAGGGAAGCACGTTGTCCTGACTCACAGGGGCCCCACAGGACTCTACTTATCAGGGGCACCTGCCATGCCTGGACTTGGTGTCTAGCCTGGAAGAGACTCCAAAGCAGACTTTAGCACCCCCTACCAGGGCCCGGAGAAAGTGGCAAGTGGGCCTGGTTCAAACCCTGATTCTCTCCCAGCCGCTGTTGACCCCAATTGGGCAAGTGTGTCACTCTGAGCTCAGTCTCCTGTGCTGTAGAATGGAGATACTTGCTTACCTCAGAGGGTTAACGTGAGGACTGAATGAGGTCAGCAATGGTGAGACCTGGAAAGCCACACAGCCCACAATGAAGAGCAGTTTCCATTTAGTGTTATCAGAGCCTCAAATATTTGTCGAATGAATATTTCAAAGGCATAAGCTCTGCCCTTTGTGCTCTGCGCTTTGTGTGTCTGTTGGCTGTGACAGAAGTGTGCACATCTGACCTCACGCGATGACGATGGATGGGAAGATACTGACTGGTGTGTGTTCTGGGCAGTGATTTACAATCTACTCCTCTAAAACACCAGCTTACTCTGCTGCCCTCCACCATGCATTTCAAGTATTGAATAATTTTCTTCACGGTGCTTTTCTTTTTCCAGTGTATTACAATGAAAGGCATTAATTTTGTAATCAGAAAAAACTTAGGAAAAATAGAGTTCTTCAGTCTAATCGCACTCAGCTACTTCCATCTGTCTCATCAAGGGAGGCCCGTGTGTTCCCCACCCTGCTCCCCACCTTTGGGGGAATAAGTACTTCCTGCCTTGGTGCGGTCCCTGCTGTAGGAGAAGGTGAGTGCTCAGGAGTGAGTGTGTCCTGACCTCACAGAGCCTTTGTTCTCCTCCATCCGCCAGCCCAAGGCTTGGTGTAGATCTGACCCTGGAAACCTGCTCTATGAGGTCACCACGGTCGCATCTCCGCTGGTCTGCTCCCTTTCGGCTGGGTGATGAGTTCTCAGCATTGAACGTGTAGACAAAACCCTTGTGTAAACATGGCTGAGCTCCCAGATACAGACCAAACAAGAGCTAGGCCGGGTCACCCGGACCCAGAGTCCTGCATGGCCCAGCCTCTCCTCAGCCTTTTCTACCAGCATCCACTCTGGAGGGGTCCCAAAAGAGGGGCAGAAGTCACCCCAAGGTGGAGAAACAAACCTCAGAAAGAAAAATGGATAGCATCAGAACGTATTTTAGTTGGATAAATGAAACAGCCTTTTATCTTCAAGTATACAAAAAGATCATTTTATTCTATTTTTAGGGAGCTATTAAATATTTCTGTGCCTAGAGAACAAGAGGGAATTGGAAAAGCCATTAGTAAGGCTTTCCAACCTTAAAGAGTGAGAAGCCCCAAAGGATGCTTGAGACTGTTGGGGGTGGGGGTGTCTGTGGGGGCTTTGAAAGCACGTGGGTTCTTCAGAACCTCTGGGCGTTTTTAAGGGTAGAACAGGGCTTTGAAGATCTCTGTGCCACTTTGACCAAGTTGAGCTTTGCCTTCCAGATTCCATACATAGAAACCAGTGCCAAGGACCCACCTCTCAATGTCGACAAAGCTTTCCATGACCTCGTTAGAGTAATTAGGTAAGCACTGCCCCCTCCCTAGAAGCTGGCCTCCACAGAGTCAGTTGGCTCCTGGAGACAGCTGGGAGCTTGAGGAAGCAGCTCCTGTTCTGAGGCCTTGAGGCTGTGGAATTCCAGGCCTAGTTTTTGATTTCTTGTACCTCCTTCCATTTCTTTCTTTTGCTTTTTCCACCCACCTCTGCCCTCCCTGCAACTGCTAACAGGTTTGCCGGTGAAGTCTGCTGCACGTGCTCAATGGAATTGCCTTCCTGTCTGAGGCAGAGACTCAGCCTCCCTGGAAGGCAACTGGCTTCAGTGTTCTCCTCACGCCAAAGCTTTCAATACCATACAAACTAGGTCTCTCTCCTCTTCCCTGCACTGCTATCAGAGCACCCTTTCTGATTTCAAGGTTCAGGTTTCAGAGGCATTGCACATGCATCTCCTTTCCAGACCCCACCAGCTGTCAGTCTCCAAGTATTGTCAGCAATCCTAATGAAAGTTTCTTCTACATTCCTCTTCATGGTCAGGGTCCAGATCTGAATTGCCTCATGCACTGATGACTGAAACAGCCTCCTGGCTGCCTCTGCTGTCACCCATCTATCCCATTTCCTGAATCTTCAACATGCACAACTGCCTAACCAGTGGGTCTCAGACCTTGCGTGTTGAGTTTGTGGCCTGGTTTGCTGGTGCCTCCAAGGCTGCTGGTTAGCCGTGAGGTCAGCCCCCAGGAAGGATAGTCTAACAGTGTCCTTCCCTGTTTGCCACCTGTCTGTCCCCACTCTACACATGCATCCCCCCATATGCTCAGGAAGCTCGGTTTCTCATTATTACCCAGCATATGAGGAAATACTACAGTCTTCACTTGATGTTTTTGCTGGCAGTTTTGCACTCTCAAAATGGTTTTCTCATCCAGGCGTGGTGGCTCACACTTGTAATCCCAGCACTCAGAGGCGAAGGTGGAGGTGGAGGTGAGGCTAGGAGTTCCAGACCAGCCTGGGCAACATAGAGAAATGCCGTCTTTACAAAAGAAAGAAAGAAATTATTTTCTCTTGGGCATTTTGCCTCCAGTTAGGACCTGCTGCTGTCAGGCGTCCTATGGTGATGTCTTGGGTATGAATCTGTAGTGCCCAGGTCAGGTTTTAGACATAGGAAGTTAACAGAAAACATGGAAATGGCTTTTACACTTATTTGATCCATCATTTTATTTTAAACTTTGAAACACAGAAATAGAGGCCAGCATTCTACAAAACAAAATGTCACATAACTTATGATTTATGTAAATGTAGCCACAACATAATGTCAGTCATTCCCATCAATGGGGCGATTTAGGTTATGCCCTCCGCTGTCTGCCCAGTTTTATTGCCTCAAGAGAAGCAATCCTGCCAGGCCCTCCTCCAGCAGCCAGGACAGCTGCTGGGTGAGGGATGGCGCCCCCATCCCCCTCACCCACTAACCCTGCCAGAACAGGCCTCCTCCCCCTCACATCTGGGGCTAAGGGAGGAGAGGGGCAGAGGAGACGCAAAGCCCTTTCTGACTTTGTCTTTCTATCCTTCATTGTTTCCAAAGGCAACAGATTCCAGAAAAAAGCCAGAAGAAGAAGAAGAAAACCAAATGGCGGGGAGACCGGGCTACAGGCACCCACAAACTGCAATGTGTGATCTTGTGACAGGCCTGAGTGGGCACAGTGACTGTGGCCTGACCAGCCCTTCGGACCCCTCCCCGCCTAACTGCACTGAAACCATTTCTAACCACAACCCTTGGCCTGAGGACTTGGCACAGGAAGGGAGAAAGGGAGGGTGGGCAGGGAGCAGACAGGGTCTGGCTTTGCCCAGAGGGCACGGGCTTTGCCATCTCTCACAAGAGACAAGGGAGCCACCCATAAGCAGAAGCAGCGTCCAAGTGTCCCTGGCCCCCCCATGTGTTGATTCAACCCGGTTCCTCCCCATCTCTCCGTGGGTGTGTTGTTTATTTTAACTATATAGTGTTGGTTTGATGTGGAAGTGTTTATCCACATACAAAGTACAAAACAAGCCATGAACAAGCTTCTTCCCCTTACCCCCCATCCACAGTGTCTGAGCTTGGATATCTTTTATAGATTTTTAAATTATTTTAGTGATTATTATTTTATTAAAGGGGTCTGGGCACACTGCCTGGTGAAGTTTCAAGTGTCCAGCAGACCTCTCTGGTAATATGTCTGGAATATTGTTTTTTAACTGAGTTTTTCCATCAGTGCCAAAACTCAACTCAATCCGAAAGTAGAGTGACAGAGAGGACAGATGTTAATGGGAACTGGAGCTGGAGGCCTCAGGCCATGGGGGAAACTCGGGAGGGAAAGAGACCCTACTCATGGCCTAGAACCAAGAGAAGAGAGAAATTTACCCAGAGGGTCTTCCTATGGTTGGGGTTGCAAATATTAGAAAACAGATTGTATTTTGCTGAGGGGAGTGGCTGTCATGAGCATGTCAGTTCTAAACGGGGTTTTCATTATCCTGGAAATGTATAAACTAAAGTAAGCTGATAGGCTTTGCAAACGTGTTCATTTGTTTTTCAGGCAGTGTGGGTTAAGTTCTCTGCCCTCCGCAGGTGTCAGAGAAGGCTCTGGGTTTCTCAGATCTGTCTCTTGCTTTCTCACGTCGCCTGTGCTGCTTGGTGCCTCTCTGATATGAAGACGCTGGCACATCCAAGTCACCTAATGTGGACACCATCCAGAAAACTCCAGTTCACACTGGATCTCAACCAAAAATGATTCAATACTGTTATCACTAAAACAGCACCAAAACCTGAAGCCATCTTCCCTTGGAGTTAACTGACAGCCACCTCTGTAAGCCCAGTCAATGAGCAGACTCCTCCCAGTATTTGTAAAAGTAGTCCTAGCTTGCCCTTTTGGCAATTTTTATTGACCTGTTGAATCTTGACTATAATATGATCAAAGAAGTAAGGAGGGCTGAGCTGATGCGTGGCTCTCATACGCCTTCTGCAAGGGGGTGTCTCCCCAGCTCTCATGACGCTCACCTCCCGCTTAGGTGCTGCTGGTGTGAGCCAAAGACTGGAGGTTTTCCAGCCGGGATGGGAGTGGAGAGACAGCAGGAACAACGGTGCACCCACGAAAAGGTCAGAAGATAAGGCAGCCAGCTGGTGACCTTATTTTCCAGATGTTACAAATCAGGTCACTATGCAAACTAGAATATCCTCAGCGGGTGGCCTGCCACTCTGGAGAAAGAAACCCAAGGAAAGTGAGCACCCAGATGGATGGCAAGACACCTGGATTCTGAAAATGCGCTGTGTTCCTGCCTCGGTAAGGTCACCAGCACTGAAGGGCCCAGCCAGAGAGGGATTCTGCTGCAAAAGGAGACAGTTGAGACTTTTGTTCGTTGGAAATCAAACTTATTTGTCTAAATTGCCCCTTCTTCTGTTCCTAAAAGGAAGGATAAGAGAGAACATTCCAGATGAGGCACTTCAGAGTTTCCTTAGATCCTATAATGTTAAGAGGTATTTTAAACACTAAGAGGACAAAGCTCTTCCCAATCCTTACGCTTCCCTAAGTGGCATCTGCGGCAGATATGTGTGCAGTTTGATGGCAGCTGTGAACTGGAGGTGAGGAGGAGGAAAGGCGGGAAAGGCAGGAAGAAGTAAGGATGGAGATGCTTGGAATCGAGAGCATAGCAGAGCAGGAGAAGCAGCCCTGCACATAGGGCAGTGTCTGTGGCCAGAAACCTTCTGCTGGGCACCAGCCACCACAAGCTCACCCCGTGCTCACCAGGGAGCTGCAGCACCTCGACAGCACTGAGTGGGGTCGTCTCAATGGAAGCA